CCCTCCCCCCGCTTCTTCGATCACCGTACGAGACGTTCCCTCATACATAAATGCATTTTACAGCTCGTTGCATTTGCACCCATGCTACCCAACGTTCGTTAAAACGAGCTGCTGAACGAACAGTCGGCGGTGGGCGGAGGGTGCCATTAGTTTTGTTCTAAACTTGATTAGGATAAAAATAAATAGAAAGAAAAATCTAAGGGTTTCTTTCCCTTAATTTAAAGATCCATTTTTGTTTCTTTTTTATTTAATGTTTTTGATGAATGTGTGTGAATGGATATTTAAACAAATATTCATGTGTAATATAAACGTCATTGAAACGTACGAGTTTGTACGACTCGTAATATGAATGAGCGAGTGAAATGGTGGGAGTGAATGGGGAGGGAGTGAGGGAGGAAAAGATTACATAGATTTTATACATATATATATATATATATATAGGAGTGTGTGTGTGGAAAAGCATGTTCAGCAAGATCAACTTTCACTCCAAAGATGTACTCTCGTCTTCTTACTTACATACATATATATATATTTAAACGTGTATGGGTTGAAACTACACATATGTAGAGTTTTACGTACAACTGTTTCGTTTGGTTTCGTTTTGTTAATGCATGCTGGGTAAAAGAAGAAGAAGACGAAGAAGAAGTAGAAGAAAACGAAATCATCATGAATCTCAGTGTTGCAGCATCATGGGCACGTATTTTATATACGTTTTTTTTCTTATTTTTTTTTTTTCTTATTTTTGTCTTATTCTTTTAAGATTCTCTCGAGGCGTAACACTCGTCATTGTGTAACACTACGCACGTGTGATGTAACCAACCAGGGGAAATTCGTAGGTCTGTCTTTTTTGGGGTTTTATCTAATTTTTTTTTTTTTTTTTTTTACATAGAAATATTATAGAAAGTTTTGATTATGATTTGTAATTCATAAGATTGTAATTGAGTAGTCAACAATTTTGTAAATTAAAATTGAAATAAGTCTTTTGTGTAATGGTATAAATGGTAGGGGGGAATCTTTTTTAATTCGTAACGAGTGTAAGAAAGAGATAGATAAATCTGAGTGTTAAAAAGAGACAGAGAGAGAGAGAGAGTAAGAAGCGTTAGTTGGGTGTGCGATTATGTCGCTTCTAAAGACTTTATGAAGCAATTACGGGACACTAATTAGAGTAGGAGCGCCGGTTTGGCAGGTATACCATCGTTTTTGCTGCTACCGTTCTCGAGTACCAAGTAGATGCTTCAATTCGATGGTAGGGACATATTAATGTCTTTATTTACCATAAAAAGTATATGAAAAGAGAAAGATAAAGAGATGGTCGTTTGATTGTGTTGAAAGGCAAATCAAATTTTTTTCATTTCTTTTTTTTCTTTTTTTCTTTTTATTTTTATTTTTAATAAGGGTGCCTCGTCACACGTTGCTGTGGTTCACAATCAGTCCAATACAACGAATTATCTTTTACTTAATATCTTTTATTTAATAAATTGAAATATAAATTATTCTATCTTTCAAGTTGGATAAAACTGCACACATTGTGCAAAATTTGATTAAAATTGGTTCAGTAGTTTAGGAGTCCATTGCGGACAAACAACGTGACACGTGATTTATATATATTAAGATAAGAAGATAATTATCATTTATAAACCCACGTGCATTAACGAGATAAATTTCTATTTGAATTATCTGATTTATCTGACAATTGTATCTTCTTCTTTTTTTTTTTTTTGCAATTTTATCATGAAGATTTATTTGCAGCAGGGTATTAAAAATAAATAAATAAATAAATAAAATAAATCTTCTTTCAATTTCTGAGAAGATCTGTAATGCAGATAAAATGCAATCGGGAATAAAATGTTATTTACGTTTGTTTTAAGTTCACTTAAAAAGTGTGAAAGAAAGACAAAGATGTTGAATAAGAGACAGAGAGAGAGAGAGAGAGAGAGAGAGAGAGAAGGACAGCATCATTAAATGTACCTGACGAAGTCAACATTTACCCATCCTCTTCAATGTCCTTTTATTATCTCAACTCCTCTTTCTTATCTTTTAGTGGAAGAAGTATAAAAAAAAAAAAATACAAAAAAAATAGGGTCTTCTTCTATCTTCTTCTTTGGCTTTTTGTCTTCAACTTTTTCTCGTCGCAATTCTCTAGCCTTTAATACTTATGGTGGACATTTGAAAAAAAAAAAAAAAAAAAAAAAACAGAAATTCTGCGGAGACGTCACTGTTTGCACAGTTACGTTGTTTAACTTACATTTAGTGTGAGAGAGTAGAAAGAAAAAGAAAAAGAACAAAAAAAAATAGAAGAAGGAGTTCGTTAAGGTTTGCAGGAATTTAACGAACGTCCAGGAGAAGAAGACGCGTTGTCCTCCTTTTTCTCTCTCAACCACGATGATTAAACTTCTATCCTACTATCCATCCCCCTGTTACAACCCTCGTTTACAAAAAAAAAAACAAAACAACCTTTCTCTCAAATCACAGATCTCATTTTGCAATAGTTGTCTATCCTATCATCCCCCGTTCTTCTAATAGTTTCTAACGAATCATCGTTAAGAAAAGTTCTTTTCAAACAAAACAAAAACCAAACTTTACACACACACCCCCCCCCATCTTCTTTCTTTCAAAAAAGATAAAAAAGGAAGAAAAGAAAACCTTTAAAAATAATTTTTTTTAAATTACATTTCTCACGAAAACAAAACCATAAATAATTAAAATTAATTAGAAAAATGTGTGCGATTTGAAATAATTTAATAAAAACTAACATTTATTTAATAAAACGTTCAAGGGTTTTTATTTTTATTTTCATCATTGGTTTTGTTTTCGTCGTAGGTGTCCAACCCTTTTAATGGCAACCCTTTTGCTGTAATATTTCGTTCCTCCTCTCGTTTCTTTTAACGGACCATTTTCTCAGCCACACCCCTTTCACGACCGACACATCGTGTGGGGGTTGGGTGGGAGTGGGGAGGGGGAAGAAAGGGGGGTATGAGTTTAAACGGGAAGTCAGACTCGTGCATCACCACTTTCGTTCGAGGCCTTTAATTTGGCACGTCTTCCACTCTTCGCTATTGTTGCCCATGATTGTCGGGTGAATCCCTCCAACCCCCCCTCCCTCTCCCCCTCCCCTTGGATTTTTCTTTCTTTTTACTTTGGAAGACCTTTTGTTACGGTAAACGTGGCGTATGGCGATAATACATGCCCTTGATACATAACACATGTTGTCTCTTTTTTTTTAGTTATTTTTTTTTTATATAATATCTGTACATAAGTGTATATTTTAATGTGTAAATGTTATATAGAATTGTTTTTGATAAGATTATCTTAATATTATTATAATTGATTTTTAATTGTAGGATGTGAGTCAAACATTTCACTTTGGAAATATTTTTAATGGTAAAACAATCTAACTTTGTTGTATTTAGAACTTTAACAATATTTTTACAAAGTATAGAATTTGTTTAGAAAATAATTAAGAAAACTCGTAGCCTTTTTTTTCTTTTTTAGTTCACGTGACAATTTGTGATTAAATGTAATTAAATAAACATTATTTTATTCGTTAGTTAAAATGAATGATGTTTAATTATATGAAAATGATATAAGGTTGGTAATGGAATATATTTGTTGAAAATATATATCGATGATACCTATATCCTACATCGTCATTGGGTAGTCTAATTACAAAATCGATAAAGTTTTCTACGTAGCTACGAAGAGACTACGACGACGACGCTGGCAGTTTTGTAAAAGGTGAATTACAAATACGGTTTTGTGCTCTTTTTATACTTGGAATTTTTGAATATGCATCGAACGAGAATAAAGTGGGAAAGTGAAGGAGACAAAAAATAAAAAGAAGAAGAAGAAGAAGAAGAAATATCAAACGAAATTTTAAGAGATTTCGAACGAAACTGATGTGAGTCCTAGGGGTAGGTGGGAGGTAGGAGGGTGAGGGTGAGGGTGGGAGAATATGATTAATCTCTTTTTAAATTCCTACGATTGGCCTCGTCAACCTTTCATTCATCTCTTTGTACATTTTTATTTCGTAATAACTAGCAAAAAAATATTACGAATGATTGAATAAATATGCTTCTTCTATATTATTTTATTTTTGAGTGAACCATAAATAATAATAATAATAATAATAATAATTTATCATTCGATTGAATATTCGTGCAAATTGAAAAAATATTATATTTTTTGTTGTTGTTGTTAAAAAACGATTAGTATGTTTGTGTATTACAAATAATTATGTGTAGTAGGTACGCATGATCGATGTGCATACGATAAATAAATAAATCAATAAATAAATTAGTTAAAAAAAAAACAATGCATGCGTAATAAATGTGGAAAAATAGGTGGTGGGTGTGTTCATTAAATGAATTTGGAAAAAAAAAAGAAAAAAGAAGAAAAAAAAAGATATAAAAATGTTATCGTAACATTGGAACACGAGTTTTAAAAATAAAATTCAACATGGAAATACTTTGCAGGAGCTGAAGGAGAGCTTCAATTATGGCCTCTTCTGTCCACCAGTCAATGGAAAAGCTGGAAAATTTTTGGACGAGGAACGTCGCCTTGGCGATTATCCTTTCAATGGTCCTGTTGGTTACCTAGAGGTAAGATTCAATTATAATCATTGAAAAGGTACTCTCATTGATATACGAATGAAATAATTTTTTAATTAAAATTGTCAAAAGAAGAAAAGCAAAAAGAAAAAAAATTTCAATTTCTCAAAGATTATTATTGTGTGCAGTCCTTTGAGTACTTTGTAAAAAGGGTTCAAACTTAAATGGTTTTACTCTGACTTGAACGGCCCATTGACACGCGACGACTACGAGAAGATTATTTCAGGCCCTGAAATGGCTTGGAACGGTTCTATTTCGCGAGAGCGAACCTAAATAAAAAGGATGAAAGGAAGGATAGAATGAGAGAGAGAGAGAGAAATGAGGTGAAAAAAAGGGTTAGCTAAAGAGAAGAACCTTTTCTTTTTTCTTCTTTACTCTTCTTTCACTTATTTCTTTCCTTAAGAAAAGTTTTTTAAATATGACGAAGAAGAAGGCTCGTAACTCGTGTTCGTTTCTTGACCTGGTTCTTTCAAACACACACACACACACAAACACACACAGATAGAGAGAGAGAGAGTGTCAAAACGGGTTCGTCCAAGCGTTTTATTCTCATCCAGTGACCTGCTCGTGATCAAAGGTAAAGAAGAAGAGGAGTTAGTCGATAATCAGGGCAACCCAGCGTAGGGTTCAAAGACACCCATTTTTTCTTTATTCAAAGAAAACCATAAATACTTAGATAAAATGCACGATACTTAAACTTTAATGATGATAATGATTTGAATAAAACTTCAAATATGAGATACAAACAAGGGGGTTGTAATCTTAGAACATGAACGTAACATTAATAGATTTTTAAACAACAACTCGTAATAATTGATTTGATTGATCATGTTTTCAGCTTAAGTACAAAAGACGTGTCTACAAGATGTTACACCTCGATGAGAAACAATTGAAGGCGATGCACACGCGAACTAATCTACGAAGGTTGTTAGATTACGTAGCTAATAGTCAAGTTGAGAAGATAGCAAAGATGTGCAGCAAGGGTCTGGATCCAAATTTTCATTGCCAGGAGACAGGAGGTAGAGATTTTCATCGATACAAATTAAAACCAAAAATATAAGAAAATTAAAAACACAAATCAAATGATGAAGAGAAAGAACAAACAAAATACTACATACTACTACTACTACTAATAATAATAATAATAATAATTAATACAAATAATTCTTTTTAAAAAACAAAAAACAAAAACACGACCAAAAATCTCTTTTTACAGAGACGCCATTGACACTGGCAACGGGTTTAAAAAAACCATCGAAAGTGATCATAGCATTGGTCAATGGTGGAGCCTTGTTAGATTATCGAACGAAAGAAGGTTTAACGGCAATGCACCGAGCTGTAGAAAGAAATAGTTTAGAGGCTGTTAAAACGTTATTGGAACTTGGTGCCAGTCCTAATTACAAGGACACGAAGGGTCTAACTCCATTGTATTACAGTGTCATATTTAAAACCGATCCGATGCTTTGCGAAACCTTATTGCACGATCATGCTACCATTGGTGCACAGGATCTTCAAGGCTGGCAAGAAGTTCATCAGGTTTATCACATTTATTTATTTATTTATTCTCTTGTTGTCTTTTGAACAACAACAACAACAATATATATTCCTGATGTAATTAGAAAATGAATTTATTTTTGTTGTTTTTGTTTTTTCTTTACCATAGGCTTGCCGGAACAATCTTGTACAACATCTCGACCATTTACTCTTCTATGGTGCTGACATGAACGCACGTAACGCATCTGGTAACACACCGCTTCATGTATGTGCCGTTAACAACACCGATTCCTCGTGCATTCGTCAGCTACTCTTCAGAGGTGCACAGAAAGATAGTCTCAACTATGCGAATCAGACTCCTTATCAGGTTGCTGTTATCGCTGGTAACATGGAACTTGCTGAAGTCATCAAGAATTATCAGTTAGAAGAAGTTGGTAAGTTTTATTCGTTTTATATTTTTTTTTTTCATTTGTTATTTTTAAAAGCAACATTTTTTTTATATTTATCGTTTATCGATTGTTTCCAAAGCGTGTTAGGATTGTTAATTTAATTACATTACAATTTTAATAATATTATACATGGTATATATATTTTATTAATTATTAATTTTAAAAAAAAGATATATAAGAGATAATATAAATAAATAAAATATCATCTCTGCATGCTTTTTGAATAAGCTTGGCATGTGAATGTTGAATGCAATGCTTTCTAAACCCACCCTTTGAATAAAGGATACGCGTGACTTCCTCCTAGCTCAACACCCCCCACCCCACCCCCCTACCCCATAAAATGCAAATAATAGTAGAAAAGAGTAGGAAATATTTTGTTTCGTTTGTATCGTAGATAAATGAAAAAAAAAATATATATTTGCATACGAATAAACACATATATATATCAAAGTATATATATGCATATGCATTTAGGATATACTTGTATTGTATATATTGTATATATATATATTTGTTTATTTGTATATTTGATTCGTAAAATAATGATTGAAAATAAAATAAAATTTGATTCTGATGATAATTAAAAGCAATCGAAAAATGTTATGGTGGGATTAATTTATATCTATAGTATATATTTGGTGGTGATGGTCGTGTAAAATCGTCGAGTGGTGTAATTTTGTTATATAAGTTGAACACATACACGTACATATATATATACACACAAACAAAACATACGCATTCATAAACTTGCAAACGTGTGAAAAACGAAATTGAACAATTTGTTTAAAATATTGTTAAAAATGGATTTCCAAATTATTTTTTAAATAACACACACGTACAGACAACACATACAGGAACACGTATTATAATAAACAATGTTGCTAGATTTTTATAAATAATCTGGCAGCATTGAAACGTTGATATTTTGGTAATGTCTCAGTAGTTCGAAGTACTTTGTAAATCTGTGTGTAATTCATATCCCGAATCATCATTATCATTCATCATCATCATCATCATCATTATCATCATCATGAAAACAAAAAATCAAATCTTTTGTCCTCGTCCCTTCTCGTTTTTTTTCTTTGCTTCCAATAAATTTGATGATTCGTCGGTGTGATTGATAAGTCCATTAATGGTGCAAATGGACGACTAATCGGGAAAAAAAACCTTTAGAAAAATTGTATCACACGAAACTGATGCAATGTTTAAAAATAAGAATTAAAAATGGAAGATGATCCTTCTGCGTGTGCTTTATCACTGCTTACGTGCTCTCCCTACTACTACTACTACTACTTCTACTACTACTTCTACTACTACTACTACTACTACTAACGACGAGCGAACTTCCTCTTTAACAAACCTACTTACTGAAGAATTTCGAGAGAAATGAAAGAAGGATTCTAAAAATATATAAATCAAATTAAATCAAATAAAACACCTTGGCCAGCACGCAGCATTGAGCTTCGCACGTTTTATCAAAAAAAGTAAACAACCCCAACAGTCCTGTAAAAAGTTGGATAAACTTTGCGTGGACATTTAAAGAAATTCAAAAATCATAATAATAATAATAATAAGATTGGGTGACTACTACTACTACTACTACTACTTATAAGGATTAAGTAACCCATTTGTATACTTTAGCTTGCAAACGAATCGATTTTCCAGTACCATTTAAAGGGCCACCACGGTACAACCCAAAACGACGATCAATGGCATTCGGTGGAGGAACGTCGATGATGTCGACGAGCTGTTCAGCGAGCAATCTGGGGACCCTGACAAGGATACCATCTACGGAACAACATGCAGCCAGTGGATCTAATACTGGTAGTCTAACACGAACCATCTCGGTGGAACAATACTCTAGTACTGGTAACAATCTGACAAGAGTCCCGTCAGCTGACCAATATGTGACTACAACGACGGCTAGTCTAAGCAGAGTATCATCTACCGATCAGCAATACGTTAAGGGTGGTATACCGTCCGTTGAACAATATGCGAGTGGTACATTTGTCAGAGTACCATCTTCCTCTTCCTCTTCCTCTTCTTCATCATCATCATCGTCATCTTCATCATCTTCGACGACTGCTGAACAACAAAAACAACAGCAACAAAATCAACAACAACAACAGCAGCAGCAGCAGCAACAACAACAGCAACACGATGCTGCTACATTGAACAGAGTAAATCATCCTCCGTCCACGGAATCCATGTCAACAACGCCAATCTTAGTTGTTGCACCTGTAACAACACCTAGCAATCGAGTACCGTCCATCGAAGCTACCAGAAATGATATACAGAGAATACCGTCCGAGCAACAACAACAAATGCAATCGCAATCGCAATCGTCGCAACTCTTGCAACAACATCATCGTAATCATCATCATCACCATCATCATCATCATCACCACGTTGCTACGATCAGAACAGAACAACAGAACCGGCATAACTCCGAATACCAGAGTCCAAATTCACTGAGGGATCCAAATGCGAGGTAAGCATAAACTGTCTTTGCTACGAAATATTCCAGTTCCCTTGCTATTGTTCAAGGCAACAAGACAACAGTTTATTTCACACTCATATTCCTTTTAATCTTTTTCTACAATATATATATACTGCTAACCATAGAAAAAAAAAAAGATGAATCCCATAAAATCTCTCTCTCTCTCTTTTCTATCTCTATCTCTATCTCTATCTCTATCTCTTATAAACCTTGTAATAATTAATATCCATTCGCAAAGACAATTTATCGCTGATCTCGCTCAAATGTCTCTGCTAAAAAAAAAAAAAACAAAATACAAAACCAAAAACAAAAACATTAGTGTCATCCTCCTGCTACGATATTGCAATACGTTTCAAGATTGCCGATGGAGAACTATCAGAACATAAGAATGGAGGGCCTGACCAGGCTGCAGGAACATCGACTCGAGTTGCAACATCGTCTGGACATTCATAGGACAATGGAGATGCCACCGTCGCCATCCCCCAGTAGCAGAAGTCTTGCACCTTTCAGCTCGGCTAGCTCGAGCCTATCGGAAGGCAGCAATCAACCGTCCGGTGAAGATTCTGCTAGCATTGTTACAGGTATAAGTCATCATCCTTTCTACCTCTCTTGCTATCTATCTTTCATTTTTTCTTTTTTTTTTTTATATATATATATTTTTTTTATTATGGTCCCATTTTAATCTTCACTACACTCTATATCTGTCTCTATCTCTTCTTCCCCACCCTTTCTCTCTTTTTGTACTCTGCGAGGAAGTCGTCGTATTGTCAAGATGGATGTCTCTATGGACAAATGTTTTCATGTAAGGAATTATACGATCAATGATGATCTTGACGAAACTAAAACCATCACCACCAAAAGAATAAATAAATAAATAAATAAATAAATAAATAAATGAAATAAATAAATAAAATATTAGAAAATTTAAAAGAAAAAGATTAAATGTTTAAAAAAAAACACACAGGCAATCTCAATGATTTCTGTTTTCATCGAATTTCTGCATGAATGTGTTTTAATCCGCAGTGTGGAGATATAATTAACGTCCACGAGTACTTAACGGATAGTTCCTCGTTCCTCATAGCCATTCATTATCTTTTTTTTTTTGTTCAATTTTTATTATTATTATTATTATTATTATTATTAAGGATATTTCGCATGAAATATCTTTGATATTTAGGGATCGAGAATTGTTCGAGTAAATGCTTAGTTTTGAATTAAACTTAGACAATGTTTTGTTCTATGAAACTGTTGTTGTTTTTAGACAAAAGTCTTGGAGATACAGCGTCCGACGTGATCAGTGATAGCTCAGGAGTTGGTACCTCGCAATCAGACACTACTAATTCTTTGTCGATACCTGGGACTACTGTCGTCTGTGTTGAAAGTTATAACAGTGGGATACCTGGACATCTGACGATCAATCAAGGAGATATTCTTGAAGGTACAAATCATCCCTCATCTATTTTAATAGAATTCTCTTGACAATTTGTAATCTTGATTTTGTATTTATTTTCAACAGTTACTGGTGCTACAGATTGTGGTTTACTCGAAGGAGTATTACGTGGTCAAGGTACAGGATTATTTCCAGCACATTGCGTACAAGAAGTTAGGCTACGTCATACTAATATACCATTGGGTTCGCAACCTAGCAGAGATGGAAGAAACAGAGTACTCGGTCGTAGAGAGTCTCAACACAAATATTTTGCCACTGCACCAAGACTGAAGAAACCGTAAGAGTTCATTTTTTAATACATATTTTCTATCTATAGCAAGTATTTGCTATATTATTCTCGATACTAATCGTAGAGTAACATCGGAGCCGCGTACAGTAGTCCTACATCGATCTAGGAAAGGTTTTGGTTTTGTTTTACGTGGTGCTAAAGCAACGTCACCATTAATGGAACTAACACCATCAGCGAGATACCCAGCACTTCAATATCTCGACGATGTTGATCAAGGTGGCGTGGCTGATCTAGCTGGTCTCCGAAAAGGAGATTTTCTAATCCAAGTGAGTTTCCATTTTGAAATCTACGATCTCGTATTACCGATCAAAACGAAACTAATAAATGTTTAGATCAATGGGGAGGACGTGACAACAGCTTCGCACGAACACGTGGTAGATTTGATCAGAAAATCAGGCGAGTTAGTACGAATGACAGTAGTCTCGCCTGTGATCAGCCTACCAAATTCACAATCGGCAGCAGCATTGCCGACTAGTCAACCTATTCAAAGACAGTATGCAACATTGCCACGTAAGGGTAACAACAATGTGCCAATCGGTGGAACACTTGGAAGATCACCTGCACCAATGCCACCACGGAGAGATCCGAAAACTACCTTGAGCGTTGGACGTGCTAGAGCCCGATCGATGGTCGCAGGATTAGGTAAATCGATAATCAATATTTATTCGTGTGTTTACTTTAAGGCGCGAGAATATCCAAGTGTTTTTGTACTGCTTTTAAGTAGAAGGCGGTGGGGAACGCGACGACAGGGATGAAATTACATCGACCGGAGCCAAATCGAGCAGTGCCGAATCCATTCATTTACCTCAGCAACCTTCGACTGGGCCAAACACTGGTCAAAACACACCTGTTCAACCTAGAACAGCTAGTATTAGATCAAGGCCAACTTCTAGTAGAATAACAGCTGCTGAACTCGAGGTAATTATGATGAATAATGATGATCTTAGCGCTTGAGACTCTCTCTCTCTCTCTCTATCTCTATTTTTCCCGTGAATGGCATTGGGCACGAAATGCTTTAGCTTCTCTACCCCTTCCTTTATTTCAGGAATTATTCCAACGGCAACAAGGTAGTACAAGTGGCCAGTACAGTTCGTCGATGATGAGCTCGCACTTTCAAACTGGTCAGTCTACCAAATCTCATCCTTCCTCGCCTGCTAAAACTGGCAGGGTCTATGCAAGCGTAGCTGAAATGAAACGAAAAGGAAAAGTAAGAACTTGGATATATTTCCTATCTAATCATTGGTGTCTTGAAAGGATTAATATTTTTCCCGCATGTTATTAATAATTGAATACTCATTGTCAGCTCTATTCTCGCATGTTATGTTATAGTCGATTTACAAGAACAAATGGTCGAGGACTACAAGGGACTACTAATTATTACTGATCGAAAAATACTTTGTGTTTCTAGCGTGTCCATGGCTTGCATGATCCCAGGTGACTAAAAAACTAGTCTTGAAAATTCAAAACGAATTATCGAACAAACAAACGCTTTTTTTACTCAAGCTTTTTGAACCCTTCCATTTCCTATAATTATTGTGAAAGGGGACACACAAACCTCATTGAAACGGAGGAACAGCTGATATGCTACAAATGAAAATGAAATTATTTGGAATATTGATGAAAATAAATGTTTGCATTTGCAGTCGAACTCGAGAGTACGTTTCTTCGGTGGTCTGGGTGGTGGTTCCGATCTACACAGAGACTTTCACAGCACACCGGACTTGAATATTCAAGCACAGTCATCGATGTTAGTTCCAAAAGGTCATAGAAGTCAAGAGGATGTTAATGCAGTTAACGGTAGGAATGGATTACCACCACCTAATCATCCTCCACCACCTCCACCGGTTGGTCAAGTTGTTAAAGTGAACGTTGGTGCTAACGTTCCTGACGTTGTTACTCCTGCTTCTGTTTATGACAATATGGCACACATTCAACAAGTCAAAGGTATAATAAAAGGACACTTAGTTGAATCAAACGATACGCTTATCATTTGTTTCATTTCTTGTGCGCAGAATTAGCAGCAGCCACAGCGGAAGGTGGTTATGGTGTAATGTCAAGCTTCCGGCCGTCAAACAGCGCTAAATTGTATGCCTCGCCCGAAGATATGAAAACAGTAGGTTATCGATCAAGAAGTTTACCAGCACATTCGACCAGATCCCACGTAAGAAAATCTCATAGTCTTCGGGCACCCAACAACACGACGTTCAAACCATCGACTGGTCAACAGAGTACAGGAAACGTGACAGGAAATAACACTGGCAATGGCACTGCAACTAATCTTTCTAATACTAACAACAATCAATACGCACAACCATTGAAGACTAACAGGAGTCATAGTACAGCAGGTATTAGAGAAAGGAAGAAGAAAGTGATCGGTACGAGTTCCTCCGTGACAAATTTATCATCGCTAAGTAATACCAATGGTAACGGTAATGGTAATAATAATAATATTAATAATAATAATGGTGGCGGTGGTGGAGCAGTCGTTCCATCTTCGGCCCCACCAATACCAGAACCAGATTACAGTCTATCAGAATCAGAAAATGACGACGAAGGTGAAGAAGAAACCGACGAGGAAGTTGAATCGGAGATTGCTAAGGAATTAGAGAAAGCCGCAGCTCGGGATAAATTGGAATCGACGCGGGAAACATCAGGGAATTCTAACGCTTCAGGTTCTAGTTCATCGGGTAGCAGTTCGTTGCCACATTCGTTCAGCGTTGAAGAAATTCAAAAAGTAAGGACGCAATTGAAATCATCGAAAAGTCATCCGAATGATTTCCTATTGCAACAAACGCAACAATCATTAGCGGAAGATGGTGACAACAGTTCGAGCGGGGTCAGTTCCGATCAGGATGTTCCGGTAGGTCCACCAATGGGATTTGACGATACCACGACTGCTAGGAATCATGCCAATGAGAATAATCAACATAACAATACCTTATTGTCGATTGGTAACAATGAAAAAGAATGCAATTCGAAACGTAGCAGTTATGGTGGAAGTGGAATGTTAACCAGGCATGCAGTTAGTCTTGCACAATTACCACCACCAATCGAGGCAGATGCGGAAGATCAAAACAATGATTTGTTTGTACCACCACCACCCGAATTTAACGCTGGACCAACTGCTACTAATACAACTACTACTGGTACCCCTACTAACGTTGCCAACGCGGACGAGCTGGTCTTTGCTCCGCCTCCGCAATTCTCCGATAACAAACAACAACAACAACAACAACAACCGCAGCAACAGCAAACCCAACAAAATCGTGTTAAAATTATTGGAGCCATTCCAAAAGTCACTGGTAATCAAATGAAGGCTTCAACTGGACGGCTACATAGTCAATGAATTAATAATCCTCTAAAAGAATAAACCAAAATAGTGGTTCTCTTTTTCAATTGATAAAAGTCAATACTATTTGTAGTGGAAATTTTGGCACACTGTGTGCGGAATGATGAATGGATTTTTGTTATAAATAATCGAAGCCAGTCTTGCTAACTTTTACGCTGTTTTTAGAAAGAGAGAGAGAGAGAGAGAGAGAGAGGGAGGGAGAGAGGAGAGAGAGGGGAGAGATAGAGAGCACTGGCCTAACGAGAAGTCAAACGTTAATCATTCTACTACACGCTCTTCCGACACAACTAACTTTTTAGACGCATAATAGAAAAATGATCGGAATGAATGATGATTTGTTGAGAAAGCTATAGAGAATAGGGGGATGAAACTTCATGCATAAGAGATAAAAAAAGAAAAAAGAAAAGTAATTAAAACCAAAAAAAATTAAATAAATAAATAAATAAATAAATAAATAAATAAATTGTAAACGAGCTGATGAATGATTGATTGGTGGTGTGAATGAATTTTTAGATAATCGTCGGTTTGTTTTTCCATGTTTCTACCGATTATTATATATTATACATAAAAATAGAAAGAAAAATGGAGGAGAGTGTGTTTGGATAAGATAATAATAATTATATATTTCTCTCGGAGGCGTGTTTTTTTTTTTTTTCTTTTTTTTGGTTTGTTTTAAATCTTATTAGAAATTTCTAGGGACAGGAATGAAAAATAAAAAAAATGCAAAAAAATTATTCAACTATAAATAAAGGATTATAGAAAAAAATTCGTCGCGAACGGTAACGCTCGAGATAAAATTTTATCTTTTACGAAGGCTACACATCTATCAATTATTAAATAAATTAAATTGATTATTATTATTATTATTATTTAAATTATTTTTTAATAAACATTTCTCTGTCTTCTTTTTTCTTTTTCTCGAACGACGTGTATGAAAGCCTAATTAAAAAAAAAAAAAAAAAAGAAAAAAATAAAGAAAAGAGGAAAGCTCAAATTGTTTAACACGATTAGAAATTATTTGTTAACTATTTATTAATTTATTATTATTATTCTTATTATGATTGATATTAATATTATAATTATTATTATTATTATTATAGAAATTAAGCGTTCGTTCGTGTGTAAGTTATATACATAAAAATTAACTATAAATACACGTTATAAAAACACACACACACACAGACACACACTGATATAAAAACGCATAAGTATGAAGTCTTACACTAATCTAAAAAGACTTCTGTAAAATAGTTCATCAAATTGTTTTTTTATTTTAATCCTAGACCCCGCGAGAGTATGTGCTCCTACAAATAACAAAAAAGAAAAAAAAAACATGGAGAAGAAAAGAAAAGAAATATTTAAATAAATAAATAAACGATGAAGAAAACAAAAATGGGAAGAAATAAATCGACAAAATGATGAGGTAAATTATTAATTTATAATTATATCATTTTTCAAATCGTTTAAGGGTGGTTTTTCATTTGCACAAATTGGTGCTTCGAGAAAAAAAATCTATCTCTGAAAAGAAAATTCCAAAATTCATTTATTTAAATTCCAACGTTTAGAATTTTGTAAATAAACATTAATAATAATAATAATTATAATAATAATAATAATAATTATAATAATCGTAGAGAGAAACGATCGATTTTGAAGAAATAATCGGTGAATTAGGGCTATGTGGTGTTTTATCACATTTTATGGTTTTTTTGTATTTTATTTTTATTTTTTTTTTAAACAGGTCAGCCATTTTTATTCATGTAATAATAACCAATGGACTTTAGATAATTTGATGGGAATTAGTATCTCATAATATATATTCATATATAAACCATATTATATATATATATATATGTATATATATTATGCATAATATGAATATATCTATATATGTATACAAGCATATATGTATGTATGTATGTATGTATGTATGTATGTATGTATGTATGTATGCATATTTGGTATGCGGTTAAACAAATAGTAATAATTAATGTTAAATGCAAAATCCTGATATTAAATCCTGATACAACCCTGACATACATACATCCCTTAACCACAATTGCACATGCACTCTATTGCATTCAATGCCACTGTTCGTTTTAACCGCATACAATATATTTATTAACAATTATATATCTTGTCTTTATATACAATATATAATATATATATATAGAGATAAATTTATATATATATATATATATGATTATCACAATATTATTATAATTATTTTCTTGCAAATAGAATAATTATAATTATATTCGTTAATTCAAAGTCCTATTTTGTACTTTTTTTTTTGTTATCAATTATTAAAAGTGATATTAATATAATGTGTATACATATATACATACATCCTAAATTATATATATATATATATATACATATATGTATATATACAGGGTAGACCAAAAAAAAAACAAGTCCTTATGGATAATTTATTTGAACAAATTTCTATAGCACGCTGATTCAAATTGATTTTATTCTATTAAAAGTCTAAATATGCAATAACAAAAAAAATATACACACACACACATACAGACATAAGAGACCCTTTTGCGATCGTTTCTACGCCTCTCTCTGCACAATAAAATAATTGAAAAAAAAAAATTGCATATATATATATATATATAAATATAAATAATACATAGAAGAAGAATTAAAATAACAATATTATACAGAGAACACAGAGATACATAAACACACAGTTACACATAATTAAATAATTACATTTAAAAAAAAAAATAAAAAAAACAAAAAAGATGGATTAATAATTAATTAATAAAATAATAAAATAAAATAAAATAAAAGTCGCGCTGCGTGCTGGTTGTGCGACGTGAATATTAAATAAATTAATGAATTCTCAAGTTTGTGCGTGTGAGATATAAAATAATATTGAATGTTCCTTAGGTACACACACACACACACACACACTTTGTCGCTTGTTTTTTCAAGGTCAACCAAGCAACCAGGAGTAGGAGGTAGTAGTAGTAGTTGATGATGGGTTTTGCATCGTGAAAGGATTCTAATGAAATTCGAAACGTAACGTGAGACGAACGTGTAGGAATATGAATGGATGACACGAGAGGGTGGTGGTGTGTTATGGGGGATGTTGCAGGGGAGGTGTTCAGAGTTTTAGAAAGAATTAACGCTCGAGATTTTTAACAGAAGGCACACACACACACACACTTACACACAAATATTAATTAAAAGTATTCAAGTAATAATTCTTTATAACGTGCACACCCGTTAGGATGATATTTTTAACGTGTATGCGCGTTAATGCAAAAACAAAAACAAACATACAAACAAACTCCTCTCTCGCGTGTGTGTTTTCAAATGGAAATCGAACAATTTTTTAGATAACGAGACTATAGATTATGACATTCCTGCCAAAACGTATGTGTATGTATAATTATAATAGTATTGTGTATACTTTATCGAAATTTTTAATGAGAGTTGATTATGATTATGATTATGATTATGATAATGATATTTGATCGATGAAGATGAAGAAGATGAAGAAGAAGGGTGATGACGATGATTATAAATAAAAATGATTATGATTATGATGATGATGATGATGATGATGATCAATGATAATGACGATGTTGCAGCTTTCTATGCACACATAAAACACATCTACATTCACACACTGGAATAAGCAGCAGGCACGAGAATGATTGAAAGGATTAACAAAAAAAAAAAGAAGAAAGAAAAAAAAAGCAGCGAATGAATTATTGTAATAAAACGTGTATGCTCTTCTCTCAACGTCGTTTATTCATTTCTAATCTATGATTTAGTATTTTTCATTTTTAAAAATAAAATTCAGAAGAAACAGAAATTGATCGATCGTTCGATCGATGATGATTCACAAAATTGCATAGTTGCATAGGTAAGAAACTGTAATCCCCCCCCTCCCCCCCGCCGCCGCGTTCCAGTTTTCAAGAATTTTATTCATTGAGAAAGAAAATAATCGATAAACTTTATGAATATATACATATATATATATGTATAAATATATACATGTATATATATATATATAACCATCGTGTTGGTGAATTACGCAAAATGGCGAATGATGTGAGAGGGTAGGTAAGTTCAATGAAAATGAACGAATTTATATAATTATCGTGCGAATGAACTGAATGAATATTAATAATAATAATTAATTAATTAATTAATTAAATGGAAAAGAGTGTGAGAGTGAAAGAAAGAGAGAGAGAGAGAGAGAGAGAGAGAAAGAAACGTAATACACATTTCGTCCTTGTATAAAATTGAATAATAAGCATTGTCATTTAACTAATGATTATTATTATTATTATTATTATTATTATTATTATTATCATTATTATTATTATTATGTATATGTATACATTCTTACGTACATTTGCCAATAAAAAGGCTTCGTTAATTATGAATAATATATAAATAACGTAACGTTTTTCATTTACGTTTTTATATATGTGCATGTTAAAACGTGATGATTAATATGCATATTGCAAAATAATAAGAAATTTTATAGCAATTAAATTGATCGTAACTTTTTTTTGTTTTTTATTACTATACAAATGCAAAACTATATGGCCTTGATAAAAATCCACTTGTTTTTTTGTTTGTTTGTTTCAACTGTTGTTACATAGTTTGCAAAGATCCATGGCATTATACAAACCACATACTCCGTTGGTTTTTAATGAATTCCTCTTGACAACTTGTGTAAAGTTTAAACATTATTTGGGTATTGACAAGATCGTATGGATTAAAATAGTTGCGTTGCTCAAAAAAAGGACTGACCATTTATTTTTAACAAATAATTATATATATATATATATATATATTTAATCTTTACTATAGTTTCGCCATCTTCGATAATCGTAATTATTTTTTATATTATTATTATTATTAAGTAATTAATTAATTAAGAGATATGAATGAACAAAAGATTAGTGTCTCTTTTGTATTATACTTTAATTATAATTGTGCAATTATTTTTTTTTTTTTTTTGACAATGACAAATAATAATAATCAATCATGTTCCATAAAAATCACCAATGGGTCTGGTCTCTCTTCTAATATAAAAAGTTTTTTTTGTGTGATCTTACCTCACACATCAATCAAAGGAAAATTCAGGTGAGAAAGTGGTGAAAAAATGGTAAGAAATTGAACTAAGAAAACAATAGAATATTGTACGATACGTAATCGTGAAATTATTATTACTCTCTTACAATTAATTATTTTATTTATTCATTTGTTTTATGTTATCATTTTCTCTCTCACATACAGGCAGACAGACATATGTACTTTCACACATAGGATACATTCATACATTTTCACTCATTCATTCTCTCTCTCTCTCTTTTTTTCGGGCTACAAACGATCATCGTTCATTTCGTGTATGTTTTTGTACATGAATGTATCGAAAAAAGTCAAAAGCACTGTTCGATATATATATATATATATATAAATTACATGTTACGTTGTTTGTTCGCAATGGACTCCTAAACTAGTGAACCGATTTGAATAAAATTTTGCACACTCTGTGCAGTTTCATCCAACTTCAAAGATAGGATTTTAACAGATGGCGGTATAAGTATATATAATAATAATAATAATAAT